GACATAGGTATTCATAAATATATACACACACATATTTTTTTAATACAGACTTCCCTGGACTATAGGTAAGCGCCGATAAGCCAGGTCCTTATTTTCATTGATTCACGTTGATTTATGTATAGTATGAATGAATATCTTACTCACATTTTAACATTTCTTGGTAGGAAAGCTAGTCTTTCGTAATCATTTCAAGCCAAAATTCTACTGCCATGAAGACTATTAAAATAGAAAAAGTCTACACATAAAACTGAATCAGCCATGATTCAGTTATCAGTTACGTGGCTGGTTATTAATTAACAATGTTTTTTGTGGGCAGGTGATGACTAACTGAAAATACTATATGTACATTTAATGTGTTTACCTACTTCAGTATCCACAAATACTTGTCTAAAATTTTTCTAAATTTTTATTATTCACATTTTTCATTAGTCCCTGGATAAATTTTGCTGCCACCTACTGACACAGTAAAAAATCCTGAAGATGTATAGTTATAGTTATAAGACCAGAGATGAAGAGCAAGACATTGCTACAATAATTTCCAAACTAGTCTCTGAAATCAAATTTCTTTTTGCAAGTAAATCTCTGGCTAGATAAACTAAATTACAACCAACAAAATTTGCAGACATATCTTATCAGACATATCTAGTTTAAGTATAATGAAGTAAAATTGACTATTATCAAAAAGTTAAAGTAGGCACATTGAAAGTCCAGCCCTGCAAATAGCAATGAAATATTTTTCCTTTGCAGCAGACCTCAGCAGTCCTCGAAGACCATTAGCCAGGTCTAACAAACCATAATTCTTATAGATGGTTTCATGTAACACATCCTATATATTAAAATCTGTATATGAACACAGAAAGTATCATTTCTGCAAAATTTTGTCTCTTCAGTCTCTTCTTCTTCTAGCTTTTTGAAATGTTTTATCTTGAGAATAAAATTTCGAAGCCCAGATTCTTCTTTTCTTAGTTCAGTCTGATCCTTCTGCCTGTTGCAACTTCACTGCTTCAAGTAACAAGCACTGCTCACAGCAAGCAAGGTGGAGATGTTAGGACTGGAAATGCTACTTAATCACACCCTTTCCAGGAAAGAACAGTGTCCAGTGCATAGATACACAAACTGAACTTGGACAGTGCCAAAATGCCTCAAGTCACTTAAGAGCAGTATAAACAGGTAAAACAAACAGGTAAAATTTCTCAATATCTGCAGATGTCTGCACAGAGCCCACTGTACCATATTCTATTCCTGGTACAAAATTGTGGAGACACCACTTTCATACTGTTACCTTTGCTCTTTAACCTATCCACAAACCAGAAAAGAACACTTAGGAACACACTGCATACCATGTGTTGGGCATGAATTATACAATTATGTCCTTCATGGGCTCTTCAGGCCTGCATGCTTTTAATGTAGTTCTACTAGGCTTATATAAATGTATCCCTCCTGCTCTCTGGAAAGAAACCAAATCCATTTCAACCTGTAATGTAAATAGTTTCTTTTTAACATATAGCGTGTGCTGATTTCACCTTAATTATATATTTCCCATTGCGAGAACTCAAACTGTGGGACACTGGGAAAGAATGCAACCCGCAGCCTATAAAGCACGGGGGCTGAATCTTGGCCTCCATTATCACCTCATTAAGCAGTGCCTGTAATGTACTTAAAATCAGCTAATGATTTTTAAATGTATTTATCAGCCTACAACTTAATAATGTAGAAACAATATTTCTCTCTAATACTGAGTGAGCAATAATACATTTTAATCTCTACAAATCAACATGAAACGTTAGAGGTACGTCATTATCTCAAGCAAGACATCTGCTGATCATTGTCAAATGCAACCTCCAACATGACCATACCACTAACACCACGAATTGTGTTAATTGCAATATAAATTTTCTTATGAGCAAAAGCTGATGGACTGAGGAAAACAGCTTAAATTCCTGGGCTTGTATACAGTTCAAGTTACTAAGAACTAAGTTAAAACCATAAAATTAATTCAACCCCAAATAAAGGAATGGCAAAATTCTCATGTTTGAGTTTAATGTGAGTGAAGACAATCCTCTGTGTTACCAAAAAACACCATTACAGCTTACATTAAACTGACAGGTTTAACAGTAGTTCAGGAATGCAGGATTTCGATTAAGTCCCACTAAAGCTGAGTAAATGGCCATAGCATCAAACAGAGGTTTCACAGTATATCCTTTAATTGGCAAGGGGATTGTGGTATTCCTATCCATCAGGCGACCCTTCTGAGCAAGGGTTAGGACCTGAGCTTGTTGCAGTGAGTTGGGAAGCATGTGTGCTCTGCAGGTGAAGCCTGGTTTGCTGAGGGCAAAAAACTCTCATTCATTGTCAGTTCACTTTACTTTCACTGAACATCACTTCTGAAGCAGAAAAAGGAAAGGAAAATTTGTAAAAATCAGTGTGTCTGATTTGTGGATGCCTTCTCCTAGTTCTATAAGGTAATACGCTTTTAAAGTGAATTAGTTATAAATACTCCTCCCGCCGAAAAAAAAAAATAAATCTCATGTCCTTAAAGGTCATCATACTCATCACAGAAGCTTTTACTTATCTGTCAGTACTAGCCTAGCCTGCAGTGGCCTTAATGCTAATTAATCTCCAACATTACCAGTTGCAAAGGGAGGCACTGAGCAGGCATGTCTGCTTTCATGTTTCAGGATCTTTGTGATTAAATTTACTGCTGAATTTACAGCTATTCCAATTTTTTTCCAATATTTTTTGTACCAAAGTGGTGCAACCACCACTTTGTAACTGCCCATGCCCATCTGGTACCCAGAACAGCATCCCCCTGGAGTACGTGCAATTCAAATGAGGGGATCTTCCTGCTGTTCCTGTTTGATTAGTGAATACAGCAACATTTACTCATGGACTTCATACTTGGATGCTACATTCTTTTGGATGGAAGAGTTGCGAGTGCAGTTCCCAGGGTGTAAGCAGGGATGCCACGTATAACCTTTGACTTTGGGTATGTAGTCAGGCATTCATTGACTGCAACACAGCTTGTAAAATCAGTCACATTCCATAAGTGTGAAAAATGTTGCAGGTTGCTCTATGAGGTGAAATACAGGATGGAGATATGTGTGCTCATGGTAGAGAATTTGCTTGGAAAAGATCTTTCTATGTCATTGGATCTGGGAAAACTGACATTAGGCTGGGGAGGTTTGGCCCTCAGAGAGAAACGGATGTTTTAAAATTTCCTTGAGAATATCAGAGTTATGATGTGCTATGTCCAAGTTACTGGCTCCCTGCTGTACGTGAAAGTAGTATGCAGCGAAATGTGCAGTGATTCCAACCAGCGGAAAAACAATTATTCCTACAAGTGAGCACAGAAGCAGTTAATAGTTGCAGAACCATAGTGGGGAGCTTGCCAAAATTGGCAGCTAAACCCTGAACCAACATAACAGTAGGTCTATTTGTCTCATTTACTCTGCTTTTCTCATCTCCCTAACTCCATTTCAAGGAAATAAAGATTGCTTTATTTTATATATATTTATATATATATATATAATCTATCTATCTATCTATATATATATATTAACAATAGCCTTAGTGATTATGCCTAGAAATAAATTAACAGTAAAATACATTTTCAACAAAGGAGATGTGAAGGAATTATATAATCAGCATTTATCACTCATTTCTACTGATTTACATATTGAAAGGGATTTATTGCATTGGTAGCAATCAATTGTTTACTTACAAGAGAGCTTTTCATGACAAGTCTCCCTCTTTAAATCATGTTTCATTGCCCTAATAAAAACAAAACTCATTTCATAGAGCTTCCTAGCAAGGCATACAGACCAATTATCCTATTCAGATTCTTTCTTTATAATTGTTAATTTAGCTTGCTATATAAAACACAATTAAACCTTGTTTAGACTAAAGCTATGCGGAGTTCTAGCTGATGCTAGATTTTAAATCCTAGCCAAACTTAAAATACATATTTTAATATAATTCACACTGATGCTGCATAGTTATCACTTCCATAGCCACAGAAATGTACTTCAGCAAATTAGCATGTTCCCACTCCCAACTATGTCAGCAAAAAGGTATTTTCTTTTCATCTTTGCACAAAAGGTAATATCTAAACATAGCTGATTGGCTTAACATCAATTTACCTTGCACACTTGCATATTTTTTCCACCTTCACTGCTACTAACTGCCTGACATATATGTATGACATCTACAAATGTATATGCTACTGCAGAGGACTGAAACGTCATGGCTGTGTACAGGTACCCATAGATATACATAGGATGAGAACCGAATCATAAGGAAGAGTTTAAATCACATGCAATCTAGAACAATGGGGCACTTGGAAGGAGCTAAGGGAGAAGGGGTTTCAGAAAGATTAAAACTGAAGAAAAAAGTTGTAAGTAATGTACACAAATATGAGAGAAAGTAATATTTTTCTTTGAGTAGCAGCTAAACTGGAAGCAGACTTACATTGGCAGTTAGTCATTTTAATTACAGTGTGATGACACTTGCTAGTTTAGAAAATGAATCATATGGTTACACAGGAATGCAGTCTTTTTGCCTTAGCTATATTTGTAGATAAATAGAATTCTAAAAGTGAAACAGACATTCAATTGCTTAAGGGTTACTTTATGTATAAGAGTATATTTATTCAGTAGTAATTTCAGGCTATCTTCTCATGACTTTCCTTTTTATTAAAGATCAGACATCCTTCTTACAGCACAGAGGACATCAACAGAATGACAAGAAAATCTAATGCTCTTTCAGGTATAAGAATATTGAAACAGCCTAAAATCAATCACTACAAGTTCCTGAAATCATTCCAATTTCAGTAAAGTCAATTACAGATACCGTTTAGTACAAGGACATAATTTACAGCATTTCTGAAGAGGAATATTTTATTCTGTCAAAGGACCGCAGTTTAACCCCACTGCAATACTTTCAGTGAAGTCAATGAACTTGCATTAGCATAAAGGCATTAAAAACCTGACACACTGACCTACCTTTATGTGACAGACGTAACCTTGGCTGTCTTGTATCTGTTGCATGACATCCAGCCGGTAACTCTAGTAACAAGCCACATAGTGCCAGAATTAAAAGGTCCTGGGCTGATGCCATCATGCCCAACATCGAAATCTTGCTCTCTTCACTTAACTGCAGCTCTTTGTTTGTTTTTTTTAAGGCTCCAAGTTCCACTTCTACTTTTCCAGTACAGTCAGATATCTCTCTTTGGTCAGTTTGTGGGGTATCTCTATGTGAAAAATCAATGTTCGTCAGAAGAGCACACAGCCTCAGCTTGCCATTTGTCAAGCTGTGCAAATGTCATGTAAAAAATATTCCCTCCCCAGTACAATTGTTTATAAAGTGCGAGGACATTCCAAGGCGTTACTCTGCAGTGTTGTGTCTTGAGCTCTCTAGTAACTCTGCCCGTGGATTCAGGAAGAAGCTGTATTTGCAGTCCCTCCTGCAAGGCAATTCATTAAAAGAAGGAGGGAAAAAAAAAAGAAAAAGAAAAAAAATAAAAAGAAAGCACCCTCCTCCTTGGTGCTCTTCGAAACTCAGCCCCTTGCTCTGACTTGCTAAACAGCCAGTTTTAATTCACCTTTCACCTTTGCTAATTAAAAACAAGAAGTGCCATTCCCTCCTGGAGTTGCAGGATCCACCCAGCGGGGAAGCCGGGCTGTCAGGCTGCCGTATTTACTGAGAAAGTTCAGCGAGGGTTGAGGCGATGTACAGTACGAGCTGCTTCTAGGAAGCGATTTAATCCACGTGCCGTGCGCTGATTCCTCAATTGCTTCGCGGTTTCATGTTGTAAAGCATCAGGAGAATGGTCAGAACTCTTCCTGCCCCTCCCTTCTGAAAAGTCATTTCAAGTTTTTTTCCCAGCTCGGTGTTAGAGGAGGATTAACCCTTGATTTAACAGTTTAAGTGCATTATCACATAGAGTCATTAAACAGCATGCTGCTAAGTGGATCAGCAGTCTTTTTTTTATTTTAAAAAGGGTTTGGTTTTATGTTGTTGTTTTTGGCTGTGGTTTTCTTTTGTTTGGTGTTTTTTGTTTTGTTTTGTTTTTTGTTGTTTTTTGTTCGTTTGTTTTTTCCTTCTATAGATGTGCTTCAACACACATCTTAATGAGAGCATGATAAACAGCATCAGATTTAGTAGGGTCAAGCAGCTACTTCTTACATTGCAACTAACAAATACCAGATAATTCCATCTCTTTTTAAAAAATCATTTCTAATTAAGCATCATTAAAATTCACATCATTAAAATTATTCCTGTGGCAAAAATTAAGTTTTTATTTTAAAAGTCTATAGGTCCAGGCCTGAAATACATAAATTAAAATGCTCTGTAGCTCAGATCTCATGCATAGAATCTTTTAGCATTTTTTGAAGTGCACTTCAGTTATTAACAATTGTAGGGGTTTTTTAATTTTTTTATTTTTATTTTTATTTTATTTTTTTTTTTTTTGGTTAATGAAGGGGTTAATATATCTCAGGTCTTTGCAAAAATGAAACACAAAAACTAATATACTCATCTAGAGATAATGTACTCAAACACATTTGGTAGCCTACGAAAGAGAATGATATCTGGACAGAAAGATTTAATAAAAAAATTTCTGTGTGCCAGCAAACTGAAATGAACCTAGCACAATACCATTGTGAAATGCTAAGAATTGTAATGACAGGATAAATAGATGGGAGAAGAAAGATCTGCAGATCTGTTCAAGGAGATTGAAAAATATGATCTACTACGATGGGGAAAAAAAAAAAAAAAGGAAGCAACTTTGGAGGAAAAGACAAAAGTAAATCAGTGAGGGTGCCCAAGGACTCCTGGAGGCTGTATAATCAGAAGTGGGGAGGTCATGTCTACCTGTTAGTTCTCCAACAGCAGGTCACGTACACATACCTGGGCTAGCCTTAAATCAGTTGGAAACTGTGCCATCAGCAGCTAAACCACAGGAGCAAGAGCTGAGCAAGAGCTAAATCACATAGCTCTTTGTTCCATTTCATGCACACACATTGCAGGTTTCACTGAATTGTATACTGATGTAGGGCTGTGGGGCCAGCTATCTGGCAGTCACTCAGTATGTGTGCTAGAGACATTGTCTGTGAAAACAATACTGTCTCTGCCTCCAAGAACTGATCTCACCACAGACAAGTTTATCGTCTACCTGATGGAGATTTTATTGGCACCTTTCTGTCATACTAAGGCATATCAGTGTGCTGCATTTGATCACTTGAAGCTGTTGTAAAGAGCACGATCTGTTGAGGCCTCCCTGAAAATTTGCATTTGTCTTTGGATGTGATTCTGTGAGCTCTTATTGAAATATTCACATTTTATTCCCAAATACAGATAGAATTAATAGAATTCTAGAAGACTCATTCTCTCTTAAATTTAAATCTTAAAAACTTAAACAATTCAGTTCCTGAAGTAACCCAAATGTCCTTTTTGCTTTTAAGAATCTTGATATAGAAAATTCAATAGTCTTTTTAATTTAATCTATACATTTTCAAAAAGGCTACAGAAATCCAAATGCAAGCTCAAGTGTGAATACTGAAACCATATTTAGTGAGTAAACCAAACATTGATGCAAACCCTCAAATTCTGCCCCTCTCTGGAGCTGTTATTCAAAGTACAGTAGGAGATCGTTGATATTCTCAGGATCCAGCTAATGCAATAGATGCTGAACCTGATTAGTTAAGACTTCAGGTATCCTGAGGTGGTACTACCACAATAGTGCAACAATCTTAAGACAGTTTCCCCAGCTTTAAATTCCTTAAATTCTAGTTTCATTTTTTCTGGAAGGTGAGAAAGAAGGGAAGCAGCTGGAAACCATGGGCCTTATTTTGTTCTTAGGTAAGCGAAAAGGTGCAGCACGTCTACTCAGACAGCTCTGTGTAAAAATAAGGGCAACTCCCTTCTGATGAGAGCTTACCTGTACACTCTGTTGCACTTCAAAAACCCATGCATCCCCAGCCATTACGTAGGTCTTGGCTCCCTACAAACACAATATGACTCAGAGCAGGGGCTTCAGTAGCCTCAGAAATACCCAGGCAAGCTGATTTTCATATTTGTGCCCAAGGACAAAGTATTTCTGTCTGAAATCTGATTCTTGAGCTAAGTGGGCCGTGTGGATGCCTCAGGCTACTTTCTGTGCCTGCTGAGGGAAGGCTGTGGAGCAGGGCTACAGAAGCTGGAGCTGCTGTTGGATGGGGAGGCTTCAGCTGACAGCAAGAGATGCTGGCATGCACATGCAGGGAAAGGCTGCTGAACACAAAGAAAGATGACTGCACTGGAAAGAGGCCCAACAAGATGGAAGGGAACGGGAAAATGCACGTATTGGTGTAAGCAGGAGACTCACTTCTTTCCTAGAAGAAAAAAAATGAATGTTCTTAACATATATATCCTTGCTTCATTTTTTCTCAAATCGTTGTATAAGATATATAAGCCTTACACCAACTTACAACAAACAAACAAACAAACAAACAAACAAATAAATATTGATGAAAAGTGAGTAGTGGAAAGGTACACACAATTTCAAGGCAGAAATGTGTGGCCTCAGGCAAGGCAGACAAGCTCTTTGCCTCAGCGACTTTTCAATTAAACAGACATGTGGTCTTGCCTCTAGGGGTGTTTTGAGAGACTTGTTCCTGAAGGATTTTAAACAGTAGGTACAAGGATAGCAACTAAGATGTTCAAATATTAGGATTCTGTCTTAGATGAGTATAAACACAGATGCCAAGGGCTGCAGAGTCCACATGCAATACCTTGCTGGGTCTCTGAAGATAAACATGGTGGGCTTACTGTGTATTTTCTGTTAACAAGGCAAACAGAACAGATCTCTGTTGAACCTGATTTTTTTCAGTAGCAAAATATCTGTTTAAATGAATGCTGACAGGTAAGTAAAAATTCATGCCTAGAAGTCTTCAGGTGTTTGAAAATTGAGATGCAAATCTGGTATATTTGACTGCTGGGATAAAGTTTATATAATTGCTCTCAGCTAAAAAATACTAGAGGTTTTCTTAACAGAAAAGACAAAAATAAAGATGCTGTGTACACTTGCATTCTGTATGTACAGTACAAAAAACTAGTAAAAGAACTCCAAATTAATTGTGAATTGCTTTGTCTGTGAGTCACGGTTTGATTTGCTGCAACCACTGTTGCACAGATGCACAGCAGTTCTAATGAAGCCAGTGAGCCTGTAAGTCTAAACACTCTAACATAAAATGCTTCTGACATACTGTGTGAACTCGTTTAACTGAGAGAGTAAATGTAAATGCAGGAGCATGATATAAATAAGTAGATCTGCTATTAGCTACTAGCACCAGTAACAAATTCTAAACATTATAACTATAAAGCAAAATGAAGTGTTTAGAAATGTTAAAGCTAGGGTGGTCCAAAGATTGCCATAACCATAACTCAAAACCAGTTTGAAAGCTACAAGACTGCCTCCTTCTAAAGACAGTACACTGAGCCATGGCAGAAAATCTCTTTCGGATTGTTTGCAGATCAAAAGAAGGTGAGCAATCCAAGGAATAGCTGTGTGGCCTCCAATGAAAGTTAATGACGCCTGCATCTTCATTAATCCTGTAACCTTTGGTAAGTGTATTGCAAAGGTAATCATTTATTTAACAGACAAATCTTTAAACAAAACTTAAAGAAATCCTCCTCTTACAATATTTTACTTGCAAAGCTTTCATATGTCACTATTTATCCAGTGAGCATTGCAGTTAGTATTGACACTTCAGCTTTCAAATACTATTATAGAGAAAGAGTAGATGTGGGAGATGAAGGAAAAGCTTGTATATCATGTAATTATTATCTCTGTCTTATCTTTGCCTTTGAGGTGGGAATTCATGTCTGCTCCAGCCTCTGTTAGAAACTGGTAACTGGCTCTTGCTTCAGCCCTACAGAAAAAATGCTTGTCATTGCAGTGGTGCAATGGTGCAGCCTCTTAACTCCTAATCAACCAACAAAAATTCTGTGGCACATTAAGCAAGAATTCTGACAAGACACAACAAGAACATGGAAAAATAGATACAACAGGTGAGTAATCGCTCAATAGTAGTATCTTCTTAGATCTCTCCAAGAAAGAAGAAGAAAACCACTCGAATGACCCCACTGACCCTAGGGAGGATATGTTAACTGATAGCAAAAGAATGCTGCCAGATCCTGTTTGATACAAGGTAATAACAAGAAATTAAAACTTAGTCATCATATAGAATTTTCAGACTATAAATGATTCTGACATTTGCTTTTGTCTGCTGGAGTTGGATCCTAGCCCTGTGTGAAAGCCGATGTGTTTATATACAATGTCTTTAGGACAGGGAAATGTTATTTCTCTTGTTTCATACACAGTAAACTCTCCCTTTGATCCAAGATCAAA